CGATGGTCAACGCTAAACCAGCTTGGCTCATCACGATGGTCAACGCTTAACTAGCTTGGCTATCACACGGTGCTTTAAGCATCGCTCCCACTCCACTCCCGGAGTACCTTTTGGTATGGTAGTAAGCTCCGGCTTACAAGCCACACTGGGGCTCTGCATGAATGCATCCTCAAATAAATCCCTGCTCATTGCACGGCAGCCTACGGCAGCTAGAGCATGACTCCTCCAAGGGAGTCGCCCCAGCTCATTTCCACAGCAGCCTACGGCAGCTAGAGCATGACTCCTCCAGTGGAGTCGCCCCAGCTCATTTCCACAGCAGCCTACGGCAGCTAGAGCATGACTCCTCCAAGGGAGTCGCCCCAGCTCATTTCCACAGCAGCCTACGGCAGCTAGAGCATGACTCCTCCAATGGAGTCCCCCCAAATAAATCCCAGCTCATTGCACAGCAGCCTACGGCAGCTAGAGCACGACTCCTCCAATGGAGTCCCCCAATTAATATATATGGTCGCCTTTAAACCTGGTCTCCCGCTCTCCCTCAGCTAAACACAGATTTTTTAGATTTTTTTTTAGTACGCAGTTTTGCAGCCCATTAGATTCTAGTAAAAAATGCAAGTTCGGAGTTAGTCAAAAATTTTTGAAAATTTTTTTTTGTTGAAGCATTTTTTCCATATAAAGCATTTTTGAAAAAAAAAAATTTTGTATGGAAGAGACTGCGTAAAAAAAATTGCCAAAAATCAACGGTAGTTCAAAACCCCCAGCCTTAGAAATGTTCATAAGTAAGAATATGCATTTGTATAGGTTGTGCATACGTAAATGAATGCAAATTTCATGTTTTTTCTTGTTCTTATTTTTTGCTCTCAAAACTAATAACCACTAAAGGGCGAGCTGCAACAGTTGCTGGTGCTGCCCGATAACCAGGAACGGCAGCAATGCTCCAATAAGCGGACGTCCATAAATGAAGTGAAACGCTACATTATCGACACGTTCATCGATGATTACGGTAATTAATTGGCGGCGTACGGATAATTGAAATGCGAGCATATAACCAAAGGCAACAACATACAAATAGAAAAACATATACATACTGCACTAATTCATACGTACATACATACATACATACATACATTTATACTTAACGCATAAATGCACAACGATATATACATAAATATATACATACATTACATATATTTATGTGTAATGCAGTAAGTATTTAGATAATTTCAAGTGATTGAAAAAATAAAAAAATAAAAATTAATTAATAATTAAGAAGCTGAGTGCGTCGAAATGGACGTAATTTAGATTTAATATTGTGATTCATGTGTGTCCTAAATAAATTCGAATAAAAGTTAAGTATGAAATATTTGTTATACAAAAAAAAAAAAATAAGTAGATCAATGCAGTAGTATTATTGATAGTACATACATACATATATGCATGTATCAATAAGTGTGTGCGAGGGAAAATGGAAAAGTGTGAAAATTTAAAACGATCGAAGTATTTAAGCAAACTTTGACATAAAACAATAACTACAAATTAAATATTCTAGCTGTAAGTATTTATTTGAAAAATATATACAAATTAAATACATAATTAGAATACACAGGCGTGTGTATATACATATACATACATACATATGCAGACATAAGCGCTTTCATATTACATGCATATGTACATATATTAAAGTTTATAGAGAAATTCTTACATGCTCTGCAGAAGAAGCTACTAGTTGTGAACTACTACTAGAATGCTACCAGTTTGCGTTTCAGCCCAACTAGTGCACGTTCTATCCTTTTTCAATGTTAGCCACTGGTATTTTTAACATGTCGGTGTCCTACAGGATGTGAATAAATTAATAATATGTTTAAAACAATTGATCTGTGACCCAATGACCTGCAGTGAATAAAATAATAAATTTTTTATACGACTTTCGTATATGAGGCATTTTTTTCATATCGGGCACCAAATTTGAAAATTTTTCTAAAAATATTATTTATTAATTCACTGCAGTTCATAAGGATAGCGCACCTTTTGTTTAAATTATTTTTTTAAATTTAGAATATGCAACATTTTTATAAAGAACTATGAATATTAAACAAACAAAAGGAAAACTGTGCATACTGAAGATCGAAAGGATGCGCTATTCAAATGGCTGGAGTGTATGTAATTTTGCTCGCGGCGCTCCAACAATCGCAATAGCCGAAAGAGAAATAATTATATTGACTTATATTGATTTAATTTAAATAATCTTTACCACCTCCAAGCGAATTCGAACCCGCTATCTTAGCCAAACCTTTCACTGCAGAGTAAAGTAAATGCTTATGTATAATGTGTGTATGTATATATGTAGCGCAAAAGAGAAATGTTAAACATTTTTCGTCTTACTATAATTCTAACATTAAAGCTTCTCTCTGAGAAAATATTATTTGACCATATGAAAATGCTAAATCATCATGAAAAAAGCTGGAACTGCACTAAGTGTTTAAGTCCAATGGATTCTAACTATCTACATTTTCTAGTTAATGGATTAAAATCTACATTTTAACTTTTAGTCCTATCTTTTTTTTTCGCCCATTGGTATAACTGAGAGACTCTAAGAAATTGGATGCATTCAAATAGAAATTCCAATACATATGTATGTATATCACCTACTCACACACACACGCACACGAAATAGTTATAAGAATCTAAGTTGTTTGTTGGTTGGC